CGACCAATTATATTCGTACTTAAACCTAAAAATATTGTTAATATTAATAACGTTGCTATTTAAATTTATATAAATTGAAAACCTTCAAACTATACTTCAGATAGCAAATACAAAATTTAATCATGGCACTCATAGATCTCGGTGGTTAAAAACTTTCATCATAATGTTTCTTTACAGAAAAAGCTAATTAATATATTTTAAAATAATACTCACTGGATTGAAACATTGCAAAGTGACCAATTATATTCGTACTTAAACCTAAAAAAAATTGTTAATATTAATAACGTTGCTATTTAAATTTATATAAATTGAAAACCTTCAAACTATACTTCAGATAGCAAATACAAAATTTAATCATGGCACTCATAGATCTTGGTGGTAAAATTATCATCATTTACAAACTATATGAATTATCAAAATAGAAAATCAATGTAACTCACCATATGTATAAAAATGGCTTCCCAATGTACTAACTCTGACCTGTACTAAGTCTGAAATTAAAACAAATATTAATATCACTCAAAACATATGTATAATAAAAAAAAAACAGATTAAATAACCCATCTTTTATACAATTGTTTTACACTTATCTTATACGATAATTTTAATAGGAAGTTTTTAATAAATATAATGGACATAATTACAAAGAAGAAATACCACAATTAAAATTGTTATAACATCGCATTGTTTTGTATATAATAATAAACAATTAATAAAAATAGTAATTATTGCAGATAAATTAATTATCATACCTAAGTAAAAATGATAAATTAATAAATCTTCTTTGTAGTATATGTCACATCTATAAATTTAAATTAAAATGTATATTTATTAATACACAAATTAATCAGCCTTTTTAGTTGTACGGGTCTTCTTAGCAGGTAAAGGCTTTTGAGAACGTAATACAGCACTAGCACGACGCAACGCAGCCTAAAAATATTACTATATGTATTAAAAATTGTTTTGAACAAATCATAAATAAATTTTATTTATTGGTAATTGAATTTACTTACCTTTGTAAGGTCTACGCGATATTTGTTCTTTGTAAGCAATCTTTTTAACTTGTATAAAGAACGACGAGCTCCAGCTTTCATTGTACATCTAACTGTAGCTTTCGCAGGCTTATTCATAGCTTTCGCTTTTTTATACACTACAGTAAATCCTTTTTTGTCAGGCGTGTCAACAATACCAACACTTTTCCTGTGAATCAAGCCCGAGTAACGATAACTACTCAAATTAGTCAAATTGTTGGATTCCTGGAATTTTATATTATACATTAAATTATAATTTTTGAGAAATCTAGAATTCTAAAAATTGTTTTGTAGTCCTATAATGTAATACAAACCGTGGAAAACGGCTTATTAATATTGCGTTTCTTTAAAAGAAATGCATTATTATTGCGAATAATCATCCAATTCAAATGGGACGACATTGTAAATGATCTGAAAAAATTATATATATATATATATATAT